AGATAATCCAAAAAAATCCTTTTTTGTACTATTATATGTTAATTAGTTATATAGTTTATGAACTATTTTGAAAGGCGTGAAATGGGTGAATGATTGTGTTACAAAAAATAACTTATTGCCATGTTAAATTGGCAATTTATGAAATGATACACACACACAGATATATATCAATGTCTACATGTTATGAGTAATGAGATAAATATTAAATTGAGGAGTTCTATGATGATATGAAAATGTATGAATATATCACAATTATGATTTGGAATTTAATGATTTCTTGTGATGTGAAAATGTGATGACTGTAAAATGAAATAAGTATGATGATGTTGCTAAGTATGCCTATATAGTGGATACTTATGAACACTATGAAATATTACATTTGTACATTGCATGATCATGTCAGGTAGGAGTTTGCTTATGAAGAGAAGTGGTTAGTTAAAATCCATGTGATATGATCGCCATTCAGAGCTCAATGGCTTGCTTGGATATATTTTCATCTATTATCCCACTCGTTCTTCAAGGTATTGTCCCATAGTTTATCGAAGGACTTAAACTTAACCTAGTTTTTATTTATTCAATAAGGAAGCTAGTTTAGAGAGAATGACACCCCATAGTGTGAAATTTGAGAAAAATTGTGACCAACAAATGAGTTTAGTAACCTTGGCTAGGTAACTTCTCATGTGTGAAAGGCTAAGGTAGTCTCATAACATACACTAGTACAAAATATGAAATTCAAGGGGCACTTTCTACATCAATTAAAAGGCAAACGATGTAGAAAGTTAAGGCAGTGGCTTTTTTGTAATTTTGGCAACGCGTATTATAGTTTTTACACTGGGTGAAAAGGTAACCGCTATTAAAAATAATTTCTACAGCGAGTGCTTGGACACTCGCTGTAGAAAATAGAGTTTTCTACAGCAGGTGCTTGCACCAGCTGTAAAACTGATTTTCTACAACAGGTGGAAGCCACCTGCTGTAGAAAATCATCTTTTTATAGTGGGTGCAAGCCACCCGCTATAGAAAGTGCACCCACTGTAGAAAACCACTTTCTACAGTGAGTGCATAGTGACCCGCTGTAGAAAGTGGTTCAGAATACTCATTCATGCTTCCCTCCCTCGTCCCCTATCCCTCATTCATCCTTCGTCTTCCCTCCATCCCCTTCCCCAAGCCCCCCGTCCCCACCCCCTTGGCTCGTGGCCCCCATCCCCCTCCTCCTAGCCTTTCGTCCCCACCCCCCTCAGTCCTCACCCCTGCCCCACCCCCCACAGTCCTCACCCCCTGCCCCACCCTATCCCCTTTCCCCCTCCCCCTAGCCCCTATTCCCTACCCATGTCCCCCTGCCCCCCCTCCCCACGTCCCCCTAGCCCCCACCCACCCCTGTCCTTCCCCTTCCCCATCGACCCCACCCCCCATCCCCACCCCCTTCCCCTGGGGTTGCCCCTCCCCCTTCTGTTACCATTCCCTCCCCCTGCCTCTACCCACCTGCCCCTGTCCCCCCTCCCCCTAGCCCCTATCCCCCCCATGTCCCCCTGCCCCCCGTCCCCGTCCCCTAGCCCCCACCCCCTGTCCTTCCCCTTCCCCATCGACCCCCATCCCCCATCCCCACACCCCTTCCCCTGGGGCTGCCCCTCCCCCCTTCTGTTGCCATTCCCCCCCCTGCCTCTACCGCATCTTCCTCCTCCTCCTCTTCTTCTTGCTTGCTCCTCCTCTTGTTACTGCCGTCGTCACTCTTGATTGATTAGGTATGGCTCTTAATTTTTGTAAAGATAATTTTTATTTGATTTTTTGTTAATTTATTAGGCTGTGATATGTGTGTATATATATATATATATATGATGATAATGATATTGATTATTGTTGGGAGTGCTGTTAGTGGATTCATAAAGCCTTAAGTTGTTGCATGTGACCATTAATTTGGTTTAAAATTATCAATTTTCTCTATTAAAATTTTTTAAAAGTCTTAGGAGGTCCAATTTTTAGGGGAGAATCTGTTAAAATTTTTTAAAATTCATTATTTTCCCTTGAATTACTTAAATTTAGTTTTCAAGAAGGCCTCATCAAGTTGTTTGCATGTGGTCATTTTTAAGAAGGTCCAACTTTTAACATTAGTATATTCTTTAGGAGTTGACATATGGATCGTAGTTAGATGAATGCTAGACGAACAAGTGATGAGTATGATAATGGCGTGAAGGAATTTTTAGAATTTGCTAAGAAAAATGATGTTGACAATAGTGTAAGGTTTTATTATCCTTGTGTTAATTGTTTGAATGAGAGGAGATTAGGTGCTGCCGAAATAAGAGAGCACTTGATTTGTGATGGGATTTACAAGAATTATGCAGTATGGATTTGGCATGGTGAATGATTGGAAAATTATAATAACACATCTTAATACATGGAAATTGATAATTTGGATGATGAAATAGATATGAATGAAGATCAGTTAGAGGACATGATCCGTAATGTGGGGGAAGAAGCTTTTGAATGAGCACATGTGTATGATAGCATTGACACGGAGAAGCCTCTATACCTCGGGTACACTAATTTAGTTTGTTATCGGGGGTGTTAAAACTGGTTACCTAAAGGCAAGAGCTGGGTGAAGTGACCAAGTTTCACTTGGTTGCTAAAGTTACTTCAAATAATGTTGCCGAAAGGCAATGTACTACCAAACCGTTATTGTGATCCCAAGAAGATCTTATGTCCAATGGATATGAAGTATAAAAAAATACATGCATGCCCTAATAATTGTGTGTTGTACAGAAAAGAGCTTGAAGGGGAAGAAAAGTGTCCGAAATGTGAGGCACCCATGGTACAAGAGAAGGGGGCTCCTGTAAAGGTCTTATGGTATCTTCCAATATACCAAGGTTCAAACGCTTGTTTGCAAATACTAATAATGTGAAGAACTTGATGTGGCATGCAAATGAGAGGATATCTGATGGAAAACTTTGACATCCAGCCGATTCTCCTCAGTGGAAGAAAATTGATCAATTGTTTCCTGAATTTGGTAATGAGCCAAGAAACTTGAGGCTTAGACTTTCTACTGATGGAATGAATCCTTATAGTAGTCTCAGTAGTATACATAGTTCATAGCCTGTTCTTTTGGTGATTTACAACCTATCACCTCAGCTGTGCATGAAACGGAAGTATATGATACTATCCATGTTGATTTCAGGACCAAAACACAACCTGGAAATGATATTGATATTTACCTAAGACCTCAAATTGAAGATTTGAAAATGTTGTGGGAGGTAGGTGTGGAAGTGTTCGATGCAAATCAGAAGGAAAATTTAAGTTAATGCTCTATGATCTGTTATACTATAAATGATTTCCTACATATGGGAATTTGTCTGGCTATAGTGTAAAAGGTCATAAAGCTTGTCCAATTTGTGAAGAAAATAAATTTTTGTGAGTGTTTACATGGAACTAAAGTTCCTCAAGGTATTCTTCAAATATTGGGAAGCTTGTGTCTGTTGTGAAAGAGTTGAAACTGGTAGGCTTAAAGTCTCATGATTGCCATGTCTTGATGCAACAACTATTACCTTTGGCTATTCGAGGTATATTGAAAGAAGATTTAAGATTACAATAACTAGACTCTATTTCTTTTTCAATGCTTTATGTAGTAAAGTTATAAATCCCTGTAAACTAGAAGAGTTAGAACAAGAAGCTTGTATGATTTTATGCTAACTTGAGATGCACTTTCTTCCTACTTTTTTTAACATTATGGTTCACCTAATAGTGCATCTAGTGAGGGAGGTAAAATTGTGTGGCCCTGTTATTTACGATAGATGTACCCAGTTGAGAGATAGATACATGAAAATACTAAAAAGGTATGTCAAGAATCCATATCAACCTGAAGCATCGATAGTTGAAAAATATATTGCCGAAGAAGCCATGAAATTTTATTCTAATTACTTGTCAAGTACAAAATCAATTGGACTTCCTAAATCTTGTCGTGAGAAGAGGCAATTAGGTCAACACACACGTGGAGTATCAATAAAGAGCATGAGTCATGATGAATTACAAGAAGTACATTTATATATCTTGAATAATATTGATGAAGTTAAAGAATACATTTCTTCTCACAAATAACTTCTAAAGGCAGAAAATTATCGAATGAGAATGACTAAATTAGCATTTTTGATAGATTTGTTCAAGCAGAAAGTTTTGAATAAAAGTAGCATTTTTGATACAATTACATGGTTGGCAGGAGGTCCTAACTTTGATGTTATATGTTAGAGTGTATGATATTAATGGGTATTCTTTCTACACAAAGTCCTTGGATGAAAAGAGTACAATGCAAAATAGTAGGGTTATGATAGTAGCTGAAGCGTTCACTTCTCTAGCAAAAGACAAGAAACCTAAACTAGCAGCAAGGACTTATTTTGGGGTTATTAAACAGATTTGGGAGGTTGATTATACAAAATTTAGAGTTCCTGTTTTCAAATGTAAATGGGTTGACATCAACAGTGTTTATGATGATAAGTTAGGATTACAATGGTTGATCTTAAAAAAAACTAACTTATAGGGATGAGCCATTTATCATGGCAAACCAAGCTAAATAAGTTTTTTATGTGACAGATTCAGAAAATAAACATTGGTCAATAGCACTGAAAGGAAAAAATGGTGATTAATAGTGATGATAATCAAGAATCAAGCTTCGATATTTCTGAAACCCCTACTTTCTCATCAGGGCTACCAATTTTAAATGTAGTAGATGAAGTAGATGACGAACATGCTACAAGAAATGATCACCATGAAGGGATATGGGAGAATATCCCTATATGAATTTAGTTTTTGAATTAAAGTATGTTTCCTAAGTTCAATTAAATTTATATTATGTTTTCTAACTATCTTTATTTTTTTATTTTCTAATTAATTTAATCTATATGAATTAATAGGAACATAGAGTATCAGAGTGAACATGGTGATGACACTCAGAGCCAGCCCACTATTGGCCCAGCCACCTGGTGATGACTCAAGTCAGGGTACCCCTAGTGAGAGCCAATCTGTGAGGAGAGGTAGACGTGGCACACGATTGAGAGATTTAACATTAAGTAGGAGTGCTGGGCACAGGTTACCAATCCAATTTGATCGGAGATGGAATCCGATAGGGGAACATAAGGCCAAGTTTGTTAGTTTTCTTAGCCTCCTATCTCGTACCAAGCCCCCTATTGTATTGAGGACTTGTCTGATATGCCAGAATGTGTGAAGGACTAGATATGGGAAAGTATTTAGGTACGTAATTAATTTATGCATGTAGTTATATATCATTGTTTAAATTACTAATTATCATCTTGTGTTTTAATTGCATCTCATGTACGATGTTCCTTCTAATCAAGATTGCCGGTACAGGTTGATTTCCTACTGTAGAAAGTACTGGAGAAATTTCAAGACTGATCTTGCTAAGAGATATATCCATATTAAGGTGCCAAAAGGTCAGGCTCCTCCTAATCCTCTCGACACATACCAGTTCCTGATGAAGATACTTGGCAAGAATTTATCAAGATTTGAAACTTTTGAAAAAGCTTTTGTCTGTTAATTTCTAATTAATTTAAGTTTTTTTTTTTTTACTTCAACTATAAAATTTAAAATTAGTTTTTTTTAACAGGAAAAATGAGCTAAAGGGCATGAAATTACTCAACAGAATCAATGCCCCCTCACGCTGTCTCGTGGGGGTTATACTAAGGCTGATAATATATTGATAGTGAGAAACAGAGAAGAGAGAAGAAGAAAAAGCTAAGTCCGATCCTTCCATACTCCTTTCTCCACATCCCCCGTCTCCCGAGAGGAGAAATGGGATATGGACACCAATACAAAAAAGGAGGCAAAAAAGGCTATACAAGCGAGATAGCACACGAGATTGCTGAGTGGATTGTAAGTAATATTATTATTTCTTGTCCCTTTAAATTTCTATACAATTATATAAATATTAATTAAGATTGTTATTTTTATGTTACAGGATGCTCTTAAGGAGCAACAAGCCCAAGGAAGTTTCATTCCAAAGGGTAGAAATGATATCTTGACGGTTGCAACAGGAAAACTAGAGCATCCGGGTCGTGTGAGGGGCATTAGACATGGTATGGGCATAAGAGACTACTTTAGAGCACCTTTACGCCCCATCTTAGGAGGTGTAGTGACTAGAGAAGAACTTGAAACAGTGATATCCACTGTGAGATAGCAACTAAAGAAGAGTTTAAAGCTTCATTCGAGGCCCGGCTTTTACAAATGAAGGAGCAAATGAAGGAGGAGATATGATCATGATGAGCTCACACCAGAAGATGCCTACTGAGCTAAAAAGGACTGTGGATGAAAGAATAAACAATTAAGAATAAGAGCATCCGTCTAGTGAAAGAACGACTTTGGAAGGGCATGATCCCATGTGATGAGACTTGGGAGATTGAGGACAAGATGAAACCATTGTATCTACACTTGTTCTCATAGGTATGTAATCATATTAGATTTCTAATTTTAGGACAAAATTCTTAAAAGAGGGGATAATTGTAACACCCTCAAATTTCAAAACTAAGAATTTAAAGTGTTAAGAAGGGTAAATTGATAAAAAATTAAAAAATAGAGTTAATGGTATTTTTGGACTATTAATAACGTTATTGGACCCTTTAAACATCTTTAAATGTGGGCCAAGATAGAGTTCACATTAATCAGATCCAAGTAAAGGCCTAAATGGCATGGTGATGGTTATGCCACACGCCGTAGTATATGGGCCAATTTTTGAGTTAAATCAAGCATGAATAGTGTCTAATTATTTAAAGGAAAAAGAAACAAATGAGAGAGGCGACAAGGGACAACACTTGGGCTGTTAAGGTTTCACTTTTTAACCCATTCGAAGGCAATCTATACTAGTTTAACAGTTAGAGCTTCATTCCTATCCATATCCCTTCCTCTCTATGCAAAATTTTAGGAGATTTAGATATAGTTGGGTGTAGATTTATCCTCCCTTATGTTATAATTAAACCCATTATGTTCTTTAGGTCTATGGAGAGTTTAAATTAAGCTTTTAAACCTAAGTTTGGTGATTTTATAGTGATTTGAAATTTTAAGATAGAGTTCGGAAGAACCCTAAGTGAAAATTTGAGTTTTGTGAGCAATGTGGGTAAAGATTTAGTGTTACCTAAGTTTATATATGTTAAATAGGATTAATAGAATATATTGGGATTGTTGTTTATGATAAAGAGAAAATTTGGTAATATGGGTACCCAAATTTAGGTTAAAAGAGTTATTACTAGAGTTGTAAATTAATAATGTGTTTAATCTTGTAGATTAAATTATTAATCAAAATTTTTTAAGATAACACAAAGTCTAAAGGAGTTGCTTATTGCCACGGTAACCCTTTTTGTAACAAAAAGTTAAGGTAATCGAATAATCTAATCCTTGTACTTGTATGTTTGGATGGTTTTGAGATTTATGAAAATATAAAACTATTGTTTTAATTTAGTATTACAACAATATAAATATATTTTTGATTTGGAATCCTATGTGGAGTGGAATATATGTAAAATATATATATATATTATTTGAAAGATTTTTTTTATGCCAAAGTCATATGTGTAAATATACTTGCAAAGTTATGTGTGAATCGTTATGCTAAAGAAGGAATTAGAGTTAATCAATATGTAAATGTGGTAAGTTGAATTGAGCTGTATGTGCATGATTATTGTGATAAGGTAGGAGTTCACCATAGGCTATGGTGTTGTTTAAAAAATTTATATGGTATACACTAGAACTTAGAGGCCTCGATGTTAAGTTTTTCTTGTTTAAAAGTCCTAGTATTATCTGTGGGATAGATTGGGCATATGACACCTTTAATATTTGAGAAGGGGAATATGTGGTCCGAAAATGGATGAAA